TCAAATTTTTAGAGGGGTCGAAATTTTGGAGTTTTCGCGGTGTTAATTATTCCATTTCAATGAAACTTAGTACAAAGATGCTCTAGGACAATGTACAAACCTAATTAGTTTGGGGTAAAAATCTGTTCATATTAATTCCCTAATAAGCATAATAATTCATAATTTTTTGGTTCTGTTACATTGCGCAGATCTCATTAGTTTTACACTCAAATCTGGTCATATTAATTTTCTGATTTGCATAATTAGTTTTCAGCTAAGTAATTTCGAATTATATTTAATGTGTCTCCAATACTCTCAGCACATGGGAGTTCTTTCTAAGCTTTCTTTGATTTTTGTCTGTCCTGAAGTGACAAGGGATTTTTTGGTCACTTGTTGTCACCTAAAATAATGAACAATGTCGATTCACTAGTATATGCATATTTTATTTTGTGTGTGACTGAAAGATCATCTTTTAATCAATGAATGATCATCCAGTATATACGCATACATATTCTCAAAGTTATCCATGTAGTCACTATAAAAATGAACTTTTTGTTTTATGCAAATTAACTGTGAAATGTATGTATACGTACTTCGGAGCGCTGCTAAACGCATTATTCATTTTAATTATGCTATTTCCATGAATGAAATGCTTGTGCACACTTACAATAAATATGACTTATTGTTTTACTGACAAATGCATGAATTTAAAACTTGGTGAATATGCTCAAATTATCGCAGCAGAATAATTAATTTACATTGTGTTTCATTCTGTCTAGTGTTGTTAGAATATGTAATTCTATGGACATGATATGGACATACCTTGATGCCTCTTTTGATGTATTTACTTTGTTTTTACAGAACCGTCACTGTTATTGCCAGTGAAATTGACTTCCTATACATCTCTGTTTATGTAACAGGGCATCTTGCCAAATAACTAGTCTTTGCGGGTACTCTCAATAACATATATTATGCAAGAGTTTCTCATACAGTTTTTCCACAGTTATTTCTTCTATAGTATTTCTGTACAGCTCAGTCCTGGTTTTACTACGTATGTCACCATCATCAGTTGAGTGGATTCATATGCAAACGCTGCTTTAACAAATCTGCTTGATTTGGATTTGTGTGATGCAGGTTTTTAGTGTGTTAGCACCTTGCACATATTTAACTGAAAAAAAAATTAGTAAAGTTCTACTAGTAAAATTTATAAAAACTTGTCACACCTATGAAAAGTAAACTGACACAAGCATGTTTTATTAGACTTCCTAGTCTGGTTTAAACAACTGCGTCA